TCCATCTTACACGTTTCTTTCCAAACCAGTTTACTTATTGTCGGTGCATTAATTTCGTTCTTTATACTTGGGAATTGGAATGTATCATTATTTTACTCTATTTTCATTCTCCGGTCAAATTCTTTTTTCATCTCTCTTTGTCTTTAATTTCTTTGTCTTTGCTTTGATCCATTTATTGCAGTTACAATATTAAAAACCTTTCTCGCGTTTGTATTATATATATGTCGTTCTACTTGTAATTATCTTTAATTTAATTTACAATTACTTCTTTAACTTTAAGTATAATGTGCATTTACTCAAACATGGATGTGCACTCTCTAAACCATAATGTATGATCTCTTAATAATGCATTGATCAGCCAAATCTTGAAGTGCAATCTTAAAATGATAATGTGAAGATGATAACGTGATGATGTGCAATACCCCGTTTCTTTTAGCTAGTATATATTATTTCACAAATCACAATGTAATATTATAGTCTCACTCCTAATGTTTACTCCGTATAAAGTTAGGGTGCCAATGGTGCAACGTGGAACTGAAACAAATGCATTATATTTTGTAAAATTGTAAATTTGTATAAAATATTTAATAAAAATGCACTTATATGTATACATTTTAAAAACACTTGTTGGTTATTGAATTTTACCAATTTATGTCTAGGTAATTTATATGATGTAGTCAAAATTTGTTTCCAATTGAGAAAATGATTTTAAAATGATGACTACATATAAATTTTACCAATTTATGTCGAATAAGAATAAATCCGTGCTCTTAGATTGTATTATGTAAAATTGAATGTGCATTAGGTGAAAGTAGAAAGTGCATTAAGTGAAATTGAAATGTGTATCACATAGTAAATGACCTAATGACATTATGTGTAATTGAATTGTGCATTAAGTGAAATTGAAATGTGCAATAGTTGAAATTGAAATGTGCGGAATAAAATGTATGATGTCGTGAAATTTTTGTACCTTTTATTTTGCACATTTGAATTTCAAGTAATGCACATTTGAGTTTTATAATTTATTTTGCACAATTCAATTTCACCTAATGCTCAATTCAGTTTCACCAAATGCACAACTCAAATTCACATAATACAATTCAACGGTCCAATTTCGTTCTCATTTCTCTCTTATAGGAGTGCTTTATAAACGGAACCACTCCCGATGTACCCATTTAGATAAAAAATACATATTATTTTTTAATCAATAAAATTGTGCATTTAACATTTTAAATATGATTTTTCCTTTGATCTAAGAAATTATTAATAAATTTGGAAAATAATTTACCATGATAGGTGCACATTTTTCATTATTGTCTCTAATACACATCAATTACATATTGATGCAAAATTAGTATTTAACGTCACGTTCACCTTTTAACAAGAAGATCTCAATAATTGCACTTTATAGTGTATATTGTGCACAAATATAAATTAAGATATTTTAGTTAAATAAACAAAAAGTATAAGTCTATTATAGTTTGCTAATGAAGGAATGCACAAAAATAATGATTCATGCACTTTATTTATGTTGATTTGAGAAATGCAATGCATCGTGCATTAAGATCCTAAAAAGGTGCATCTAATCAACATTAGAATGCAGCATGACTGCACGAGGAAACTAATTTCACTAGGAAAGAAATATCTAGAAAAAGTAGGTTGAACTAGAATAACAACGTACAAACTCAAAAAAAAAATTTAAATATTTAATGATATAAGTAAATTAAAGATCACAATAATGAGAGAAGAGTTAATTGTCCTAATTTTTAGGAGAACTATAAACGTGCAACAACTTTCCATAATATTTATGACAAAATACCCTTCTGAGTTAATGAGATGGTCACGTTCCTTTTAAACATCATTAATACGGTCGAAATTAACATCTTAATCTATATTTTTAATGTCCATTAGATCATAGATATCAATGACTTGATTTCATTCTTATTTCTCTCCTGGGACTTCATTCTCACCTGAACCATCCCCTATATATATATATATATATATATATATATATATATATATATATATATATATATATATATATAGAGAGAGAGAGAGAGAGGGAGAAATGATCATGTACATATGGATGTACAACATCCTCCATACGGACAAAGTCATTGGAGGCCCTTCCCGGTCAAATTTTTTGATGAAATTTTTTGAGTATGTTCTTCATCAAGTCTAGTTTATCCATACCAAATTTCAGCTCAAAATTCGGTCGTGAAGCCAATATATTTCAAGAATTTAATTGCACAAATAGAAGTAAAACTTAAAATTTCCTTCAATAGGAGTAAACATTAATTTTCTACCCCTAATACCCCTATCCTAATTAATTCTAAAATAGGACTTTTAAATGTTTTAAAACTAAAAATATAAAATTCTAATTTTTTTTAAAAAAAATATTAAAATAATAAATATAAAATAAAATAAATATTTTTAAAAGATTAAAAACTTTTAAAATAAATGAAAAATGGATAAAAATACATTAAGAAATATAAAAAATAATTATGGATTCCTTTCCCGCAGCTTTGGCCACCACCCATCAACGGCACCTCCGATTGGAGGGAAAATGTCATTTTATGTAAAAGTTGTCATTTTTCTTGTGGAATGCCTTAAAGATGGCATTTTACTCTTTGAATGAAAATGCCAAATTTTCTCGAAAAATGCCACGAAGATTGCATTTTTGACAAATGTTGGCATTTTTTCCGGTGGTTGGAGCTGGTTATGTTGGGAGGTTATTGAGGCAGCGACAAAGGCCTGCATATTTTTTTTTCATTTTAAATTTTTTCGTTTTCTATATAGTACTTTTTTATTTTTATTTTTTATTAATTTTATTTAATACGGAGTATATTATATTATATTTAATACTCGTATATATTTTCATCCTTTTTTTTTTTTTTTACAATTTAGTTAAAACTAAGTAACGTTAGTTGTTTTATATTTTAATCTGAAATTGGTTGGTGCTCGGGTAGGGGTACCGTATATTGTATTATTGTCTAAACACTATAGTTACTCCTATTCAAAATATGATACTCTTATTATCGCATTTTGTCTATGTTTTACTCATATTTGGGAAATTCTTTCTATATATGTTACATATGCAAATTCAATGTACTTATCCCACACCCTATTAAGGTTTAAGGTAGTTAAATTATTTTTTATCAATATTAGCCATTTTTTGAAAATATTTTTAAAACCCAATGCAGACAAAAAAAAAACAAACCGAAGCCCAAAAGCAACTAATACTCCCCCAATTATCCAAAAGCCCATAACCCAAAATATAAAAATTTCGACCAACACTTGGGGTTTGTTATCTACCTATCTAAGCCGAATAGGCGTGTAACCTCCCTAGACTCGCATCTCGTCTTACCCTCTCACCGCCAAGGGCTATTCTCCGTTAACCTCGCACCCCTTATCCTCATCAATCGTCGGAAGATAACCTCACCCCAGATAGGCGTGCAGCTTCTCCCTCATCGATTGTCGCTCAGCCCCGTCGCCCTCGATCATCGGTCACCATCGTCACACGAATTGAAAATAATCACAGGTCTCACCCAAACGGTAATTTCTGTCAATGTTGTGTTTTTATTTAAATACTCAGTATGAATCATTCATTAAATCAATCCAAAATACCATGTGTCGTTAATTCAAAATTGAAAAATCAAATCAATGAAGTGGTTTTTCACCATTTGAGATCAATGTATTGGTCGCACCAGATCTGAAATCTTCTGCGTGCGCTAAATTACTGTACGGAGCATTTTACAATCTTATCTGATTCTTATTGTATTAGCCTTATTCAGATGTATTTTTTAGGTTCATCCAAAAAAATTAGGTTATCTGTTTAGAGTTTGTTCGATGTCAGGTCGTTGTTTGGTTTTCCATTTAGCTTTACATGTATAATTTGTTTTTTTAGACTGCTGATTTTTTTGAGGTTGGTTTTTGTATAAGAAAACTATTTTTTTCTATTCAATATTATAGTTTTTACTACTCCGTATTTTTTCTTTTCAAAACTCCAAATGATGTTTGTATTTATCATTCCAAAATATAATTTCATTTGGAAGTTTTTTCAATGAATGTCTATTTAATCATAAGTAAAAAAATCGTGATTAATTTAAGGCTACTATAATTACATACTCTTACAAAATGGATCAATAAAGTGCTTTTAACAATCTAAAGGACATTTCAATACACTCTAAAGGACTATAATTACATACTCATACATTTGCAATAGATTGAAATGAGTGAATCTACTATGTCATCAAATACACTCTCTTCCACCTACATTTGCAACTTGTGTGACTTTACTTGTTAAATTTTCGGATCATGTCTACGTTGAAAGAGCACTTGGAAACTACACAGGAGAGTGCATAATAGGTTATGATTTCTTAATATCACTACAACAAAACGAGGTTTTTGCAACACTTAGTGTGTAACACTTTTTATTTTGTTGCATATTAAATTTAAAATTAAAAATCAGCAACACTTATGTAAAAGTGTTACATATATATATGAATGATACAATATGCAACACGGAGTATTATGAAAAGTGTTGCTTATTAACAACTACGGAGTATTATGTAACATGTATTCTTAAAGCGTTACATTAAATAATAAACATTTTACATTATGGAGTATAATGGATATTGTTTTGGTAACATTGAATTGGTGAAAAGTGTTACATCTAAATATCTAATTAGACCAAATGCAAAATAATTTTTTGTAAAATTTTAATGCTTTAATTTAATCCTAAAGTACTATTGCCGCTGCTATTTAGTTTTCCCACTAAGGATGTTTTTATTTGTACTGTAATTTGTTGGTCTGGTCTGGTCTGATCTGGTCTGGTCTGAACTAGTCTGGTCTGGTCTGGTAAGGTCTGGTTTCTTTGTATTTTTATAACTATCCAAGTCTGGTCTGATCTGAACTGGTCTGGTCTGATCTGAACTGATCTGGTCTGGTCTAGGACAAATTACAGCCCAAGTAAAAACATCCTAATAATCCCTAGATAGAACTTAACTCACCGTTTATTATGTCGTTTATGTTGAATCTGAAAACCCTTGGGCCGCCATATCCTCTCCACTCGATCGATCTGCGCGCAGCTGGCCTGATGAATTACATCGGAATCAACCCAACAGATCTGCTTTGTTCCGGCTACATCTCCTCCAACCGACCTGCGCTCGCTCCAAATCGCCGCGCCATCCAAGAAACTACAACACTTCTGCTCCAACCTTGAATCGGCATAGGTAAACGCTTGACTTTCATCGTCAATTAAAAAGTTTGATCTTAAATTCTCTTCTTAGATGTTCATATATGGGATACGACATAAGCCAATTGTGATTAGGTTTTGAATGTATGATTAGGTGTCATGTTAGTTTGACAACCCGGAAGTCAATTGCTACTGCTGAACTCGATCCATGTAAACTTTTACTTTGCTATTATTCTAGTCAAATGAATTCTTATTATACTTCAAATAAGTTTCCAAAAAAAAAAATTAAAACAAGGAAAAATATGTATAGATAACAGTCGCTGCTCAAATACTAATTTCAAGCAGCACATGCTAATGAATGGTTACTCATTCATTTATTTATTTTTCAACAAAGTATATATGATGAATATTAATGTATGAAATTATAATTACTAAAAAAGAGTAAGCAGTACTATTAAGAATTAAGAACTACTTTTGCCTAATTTTCTATTTTCAAGCATTCTAAGTGATTTTTTGAACAAGGATATGGCAGTTTCAAACTCATTCATAGGCTCATATTGCATAAAGATTCTATATATGCTTCAGAAAGCTTTTAATGCTTGAAAGTATTGGTCTATAATTGTTTTCTGTTTGGGTTTGAGGAACAATGGTCTTAATGGTGTTAATGGCCTTGTCATACCGTCCTAAAGCAATCTGAATGTTGGCAGCATCACCTCTACTTGGATTTAGCAGTGTAACAAGAATAATTTTCTTAAAACCCTTTGTGAATGTTGTTTTTGTTCTATAGCCTTCTCATGCTTCTCTAAACCGGTGTGTATGATCCCATGACTTTATTGTCATTTCAACCACCACAAAGATATTCTCCAGTTAGTCGTGTGTCTTCAAGGCGTTTAAACAGAACGGCAATCCCTCACTGGAATTTAATACAGAAACATAGGCCTCTGTAGTATCCCCATTAGCTACCCCAAGTTCTTTACTACCTTCCTCTTAAGTCATGTCTTTTAGCTCCAAAGACTTTCTGAAGTTAACAAAAGCTTCCTCCCTTCTTCCACGGCTCTCTCTGTTATAAAGTTCAAGCTCCGGGGCATGCAAGATACGAGTAAATATTGTGCGTACTTAATTATAAGAAACTTTTAGTGTTAAAGTGTAAGTTCCCATGCTTATAAGAAACTTTTAATGCATTCTTTTAAGAAATTTTTAAGTAATAGCCTTGTTTAATTTTATTAATCACTTGATTAATTGCTTACCGCTTTTTACTTACAGAGAGTTAGACACAGTACAAGGGGTTTTCTATTCAATCTGCAAATTAGCAACTCCCATGCAAGAGATCTCTTCATATACCTTTTAAAGGTGTTATCAACCTTTATGTTTTGTCTGTGACTTGAGTAACTCTTTTATACGAAGTATAAAACTACTATTTCAGAATGCTAAGATTTCAAATTTACATATATACTTCTAAATATTTTGATGAATACTATGATACTTAAACTTCAAATTAAAAAACTACGGAGTAATATATTTATGAGACTTATGGAAACTGAATTTCGCACCAGTTTCTTGACTTGAGGTTTTGTTTGGCTTTAAAAGTGATATGTTAATTGCACTTTCAATGTAATGGACAAAAGTAGTAGTGTCCTTAAACAACCCCAAAATTAGGTGATATCTCTCACAAACATTTTAGGTGATAAAATTAGGTGACATCTCTCACAAACATTCTATTTAGGTGTCCTAACCTAGTCTTGGCCCACCTCTAGTGACAAATACAATTTTGTGAAATGGTATTTGCAGTACAATCAATAAAATATATTCTCAATGAATTTCATGCAAATGCACGGGTAAAGATTAATGACACTAAAAATAAAAGATAATCTTTTTCCAAACCTAGAAGATCTAGAAAACACTTTGCAAGCGGATCATACACAAAGTTTGACACTAACCCCTAATGTCACCTACATCCAGAAGAATTGAAGTGATTATTCTACAATGTATCTCTTGTGTTTCTTTTTATGAATTAAATAAAGGATATGTTCATTACACAGAGTGAGAAGTAGTAAAGGAACATGCTTTTAGTCCAATATAAAGCTACACTAAGCATTTAACTGGTTTCATGTGTGTATATATAATTATATATAAACACACATATGCACATATGTTATACTCATACTGCACTTAAACCGTGAAACTTTCACATTAAGATGGAGTGATGGTCTGTGATGAATATCATGAATTTGCTTTGTAATGGACCCCTTTTTATACAAACAACAAAGAGTGTTCCCAGTAGAATAAAACAGTCCGTAGTATTGATATTCTTAACTTTTGATGTTGTTTATCACATTATATCCGGCATTCCGGCGTACAACTGACCCATCTGGAAAGGCTCTCAAGATATGGCTGACCAAAGAAAAAGATAAAATGGTGAATTATGATTTTCAAATGTTCCAGAAAGAATTAAAGGATACACTACTTGCTAGAATTCACACTATAAAGAAAATAACATTAAAATCTTTCAATGTTTGTATGGAGTATTACATACTATGATTTACATAGGTATATATGAAAACTGGGTTATAACCTCTTCTGTTGTTCCCTATTTTATAAATGGGTATTCATTCTGCAGGGGGGTCTACGTTACTATACTCTGATCTCTAGTCTCTAGTGAACGTAGATACACTTGTTGGATTCTTGCGCAAGAGGCCAAGAGGGTGCTCATCTGTGATCAATTTGTTCTATAAAAGTTTCATATTTAAAGGAGTAATAACAACAGAGGTGTTTCCATCAGAATAATAAACAACACTTAGTAGAGCGTGAAAGCCCTAATTAATTTGCCGCCCAGTTATTTATTCATTGTTTATTGAACTGGATTATGAAAAGTGGTATTAGGAGTCTTTCCATAAAAGACTCCTCATTTCTCGGCGGTAATACTTTTCTATACATTTAAAGCTACTCGTTCAAAGTACCTATTATTATACATTTAATGCTACTCGTGAAAATTAAAGCACCTGTTATACTTGCCCTGGTTTTGAATTTTGAAATCACACTGCCACCCCCATTTTCCCTCCCAAACTCCCCCCACACTCCCTCTCACACTTTTCTGTTTTAATATATATAGATTTGTTCTCGCGTCCGCTCTTAAGCAGTTAGCAGATGTGAGTTCACTAACAATACATAGTTTAAGATGTATTTTGAATGTCCTTTATTTTCTGTTGTTAATGTCCTTGTTGTTTTCTAATTTTTGCAGCACACATGGCTCCTGCTAAGGCACCTTTTGGGAATATTTTTGTCACGCAATGCATTCCTCCCTGCGCTCCTGCTATACCACCAGCACATATTCCAACGCCCGAGGAGGTTGTTGCGGAAGACACTGAGTGGAATATTTTGGCGAATGCTTTGAACAACCTAACAAATCAAGTCGCACAAGGGTTAGCTCTGATCACAGGTCAAATGCAAGGGCTCACTGGCATAGTGCAAGATATGCAGCAGCAGATGCAGGATATGCAGCAGCAGATGCAGGATATGCAGAAGCAGATGCAACAGCAGATGCAGGATATGCAGCAGCAGATGCAGATGCAGCAGCAGATGCAGCAGCAGATGCAGCAGCAGATGCAGCAGCAGATGCAGGATATGCAACAGCAGTTGACCCAAGTTGATGCACGGATGGCTGCGGGTTTGGCGCGCACATACAACACCAAATTGACTGATAGTCCTCAAAGACTACTTCGTGCTGTAGTCAAAACAGTTCCAGGGCACCCAAATCCTTTTCCCCCACCTTCTTTTCAGTTCGCTTTACCTCCAAATGGGGTATTCCCGGTTGGACATGCCCCACCTCCGGGTCTTGTTCCCAATAGCTTTATTGGTGTTCGTGCATTAGGTGCACATGCCCCTCTAAATGTTATTCACTGGTTCTATAATGAACCGAGCTTGGCCGAGGTGGGGCAGAATGTGGCCACTCGACGTTCCAATTTGGAGGACTATTTGACCCTTTGAAACGCTATTAGAAATGCTACTGATGAATTTCTAGCTGTCTTCTTTTTATCAAACATTGCATTTTATATTTTTGTTTTTTTCACCAAGCCTTGTAAATTCGTGCTTGTGTTTAGTTTGAAAGTACTTGTTCGTTTAATAGCATGTGTTTGTTGCAATTAGGGGTGGACTCGGGTCGGGCCAACCGGACCGGAACCGGACCGGCCCGGTCAAGCGGTTCGTGAACCGGTTCGGGCCACCCGGCCCGGTGGGAAGGCGGTCTGGGCTCGGGCCTGCTGAAACGTGAACCGGCCGGGCCGGGCCTCCAACGGGCAGATTTTAATTTTTTTTTTTTTTTTTTTAAAAGGCTTTTTAGCCGTTATGGAGCTCCCAAACGGCTCTATAGCTGTTGGGAGCATAGGAGGGGGGTCTGGGCCCTGGGGGGTGGGGGGGGTGGGGTATACAAAAAAAACTATTTATACTCCTATTTTCTATACATTTTTTACACTTCTTCTTCTACAAGTCTACAACTCTTCCTACTCTCTAATTCTCTATTCTCTCAATCTCTCATATTCAATCATCTTTATTCTTCATCTTCTCCAAATTCTTTCTACATATATATATTTTATATAATTATTATATCTACTTATATATAATAATTATATATAAATATTTACTTATCCACATTCATATTATAATTCTTTACACATTATATTATTTATACATACTATATATAGTTATACACATTCATATATACTTGATATTTAGTTATTATCCATACTATTGTTATTTACTTATATTTATATATTACATTTACTTAATATATACTTATATATACTTATATATATATATATATATATATATATATATATAAAAGTATTAAGTATAAGTGTATTACTCATCTTATAGTAATATACTTATATATTATATACTATAAACATTATATTATATATTACTTATAATATATTTATACATTATATATACTATATAGACTTATACACATTCATATTTATTTGATATTTAGCTTTTATCCATACTATTCTTATTACTTATATTTACATATTACATTTACTCAATATATACTTATATATACATATACATATATATATATATATATTAAAGTATTAAGTATAAGTGTATTACTCATCTTATAGTAATATACTTATATATTATATACTATAAACATTATATTATATATTACTTATAATACATTTACAAGTTATATAAAGTATATAGACTTATACACATTCATACATTTCATAAAAGTAGTTAATTGTTAGACCTCTTATTTATCTATTAAATTAGTTAATTGTTACATTCTCTACATTTCTCTTTAAAGAAAAAAAAATAGTTACTTGTTACATATCATTTCTTATTTAACATTAGTTAAAGTAGTTACTTATTTAATTGCTACATTTCTCATTAAAGTAAAAAAAGTAGTACATTTTTACATTTGTCATATTAATATTAGTTAAAGTAGTTAATTGTTACATTTGTCATATTAATATTAGTTAATTGCTACATTTGTCATATTAATATTAGTTAATTGCTACATTTGTCATTAAGGTAAATCCTGAACCCTGAACCCTGAACCCTCAACCATAAACCCTAAACCCTAAAAACCCTAAACCCTAAACCCTAAACCCTAAAGTGGGGCAGATTGAGAAAAATGCTCCATATTTTTAGTTAACAAACGAGTGTATGTGATAATGAATGCACACGTTTCTTGGATATATAAACTTCATGAAACTGACCTTTTATTCAATTATTTTCTTTAAATTACCATCTTTTCATTTTTTTCTTTAAATTGTTTTAACTCTTTCAATGATCCAAACTTTATAAAGAAATATTAGATTTAATAAGTTTTTAGTCTCTTTCGAATGATATCAATATTATGTATAAAAAGTTGGAAAAAAACCTTTTTTTAATATCTATTTTAGGTGGATTTTTTAAGTTTTTTGACATGTACAAATTAAAGACTGCAAAAATGTAAAAAAAATTGTCATTGTTTTTAAAAATAATTGGATTAAAAATGAAAAAGTTAAAAAAAATTTGCAAAATAGTTAAGAATTGTCTTGCCACATAGCAGGCAAGTAGGATGGGGTCATGTATGTTCACCCTCTTTTGAAGGGCCATTTTCCAAGACTTCCCACATTTCATCATGAAGGGCACATAGGTGTGCCTTCATTCGTATTTTCTAGTCATCATACTTCTGATCTGAAAACATGAGATGTTTGACAAGAGAGTTATCCATATTAGCAAATAAATAGGCTAAGAACAAGGTCTTTGTTCAGCAGGTAACCTAAGAGATTACAAGAACAAGGAGGCTCTGATACCACTTGTTGGTCCCGGATATACAAGGAACAGTCTAGAGGGGGGTGAATAAACTGTTATGGTTTTTAACTATTTCAAGCTAAGTACTAAGATTAACATAATAGCTTGTTCTGTTGAAGAACAGACTGGCAGCGGATGATCTCTTGTTAGGGGTTCTATCCGGTTAGCCTCACCGAGGTGTAAAGGCAATAGGCCTTCTGTTAACTCTTAAGACTTGTTCTGTTGAGCACAGAGACCGGGTCTTTTGGAGTTAAGCAGTTTAAAGATGAATGCAAGAATTAAAAGTGCAGTAAGTAAATGACACAGAGGATTTTTATAGTGGTTCAAGGAACAACTCGTTCCTCTAGTCCACTGTTCCACTAAGCTTGTAAAAGTCACAATTATAATGCCTTAGCTCTAGCACTTAAGAAGCTCTCCACGTCTTCTTCATGTGTAGATGTCACCTAGGATGCACTCCCTTGCTTCCGTATGACTGGTCCTTTCACTGAGTTTCCTTGAAGTATCCCCATTTCATTATTCCAGTTACTTTGGACGCCCTTCTTTTGCAAGAAGATTGTTTTATTAAAAGACAGATTTCTCCAAAGTGGCTTCGTTACAAAAGATATGTAGATGAGGCTTTTGAAGTGTTGAAGAACTGGAACTTTGCTCTTGTTGGATATGGTAGATGTGGAAAAAATATCTTTTCCAACGTAAGCTTTCCTTGTTGAGGGAGATGGAGTTCAGATTTCAAGAGAGCTTGAATATTGTAGTGAGCAAAAGTTGTTCGAGTAGTTCTTCAAAGTGTATCTTATATACTGAGAGTTGTTTTCCCGTGGGAGTGTAGAGACAGCTTCATTAAATGCTCGTACTGTAGATTTGACCGGTTGGTCCCAAAAGCAGGTGGCTTGCTATTTTTAGGCGCATAAAGATATTCTTTTTGGATCCTTGGTCAATCATCAGCTTTAAATATCTCAACGTGTGAAGCACATTAAATGGGCATTTAATGCGCTTACTGTAACTTTCTCGTTGAGAGGCTCCTAGCCGTTAGGGTATATCCCGTTAGTTTAACTGGCTTAGGTAGCAGCGAAATTCTCTAAGTGTGAGGCTATCTGTTGCTTTACACAGAGGGGCAATCTCAGAGAGCCTCGATCATTTCTGTCCAGTAGAAGTCCAACAGAGGGCCTGGAGGTCTTCTGTTCAGTAGAAGTCACACAGAGGGCCTGAAGGTCTTCTGTCCAGTCGATTACTCTAATGCTTACATATGGAAATTTCTAATACAATTTTCTAAAGGGGTTATGTTATAAAGTCTACTAAATCTAGCATCATCAAAATCTAAATACAATTTATTCCTTACACTTCCTTTGATGGAACCAAAGCGGTTGAAGGGGCGATACTTAGAGACACCAATGGAAATCTTCTTCGGGCCATAACTTTCCCTGTGCCAGTGATGAATCCCTTACAAGCCGAAATTCAAGCTTTATATTCCTCCATTAAAAAACATGACACAAAACAGTTACAACAACTTCCAGGCACAGACAGATTCGGAAATAGGAGTAAAGATGATTATAGGAACGTGATAAGGTGTGAAAACACCTTATTTGTTATCCAAATTCTGAGTCGTTGCGTGACAATTTTGTAGCATTCTAGCATGTTTTTCGTGTGGTTTTGGTTTGTTTTCGATTGCAGGACTAGAATAAAAGCTCCACTTGACTTTGAGGATATTTGGAGCAAATATGTGTGCAAAAGCAAGTTTTCAGACGAGTGTGAAGAGCATTGTGGATTCAGGGAAGAAGCTGGAGCTTAAAAGAGATCAAAAGAAGGAAACGGACGAGAGAGAGAAGTTTTGGACTGGACCGAGCAAAGGAAGGGCATCACGGGATGAAAAGAAGAATTCTTTGGAGGCCAGGGAGTAGGAACGCCCATAGGAACGCCGTTCCACTCACCTTTCCTACGCTGCAGTTAATTCCGGAACTCCCAGGTGTGGGAACGCTGGCAAGGAACGTCGTTCCTCTCAGCGTTCCTGCAAGAACGACGTCCCTGCTCCGTTCCTCACGGCGTCGAACTCTCTGCCAGACGATTAATTTATTTTGTAAAGGAAGGAACGCCCATGGGAACGACGTTCCTCCCGACGTTCCCCCGACTGCGGAAACATATAAAAACGCGAATTTTACCCTTTTTACGGATCTTTTGGCCAAATTTCGAGTGTGGAGAGCTCAAGAACCCTAGTTAAGCTTGTAATCTCTTACTTTACTACTCTCTTTCACTCTTAATCATTGTTTTAGATTACAATTACATGAATTTACTCTTTAATCAATACAAATCTTAGTTCCTCTCAATTCTCTTTCAATTCCCTTTAGTTATTTAATCATGCATATGTTCTTATTCTTTGCAAATCTTTTGATTTCGTCTTCAATTATGTGTGAGTAGATTGTTTAGGGGTTGGGGGTGATCAAGGATCACCCCATCATGTGATCTTTGGGTTTAGATTCATTAGGGAAATCGATCAATATAATATGCATGCCAAGTGTTTGTGAAAATTCCTCAATGACTTGTTTTTTCTCTTAATTGATGGCCACAATTTAGGTAGAAACTTGTTAGAACCCGCGAGGAGACTCGTAGGGTTTCTCTAGACACCTTCACACACTCACACACACTATCTCCTCGCCACGAGAGTGGGAAGAGATAGGGGTCACGTTAGTTGGTTATGCTAAATTGTTTAGCCTAGGAAAGTCAATGGACCACGAGAGTGGCCGTTCAGTTCCCTTGGCAATCTCTTGGCCACGAGAGTGGCGAGAGAACTTTCACCAGACCCTCAAATGCATGTTTGTTGATTGATCTCCCCGATAATCATTTTTCCTAGTTGATT